CAATCATTGCTTAACGCTGCTGCGAAGGAGTTGTCTTTGGAAGGGAAGACTTTGGATGTCATCTTTTTGAACGACTACCATTCCAGTCGTGGGGAGACCACGGAACATGTCACGTTCACGTTTGACGAACCTGTCTGTGCGGGAACTTGTACGGGACATGCGTTCGGATCTGGAAAAGGAGAAATTTTCAAGCACGATCACTCCAAAATTTTCAGCAAGAAGGTACGTCTCTCTTTATCTTATTGTCTCGACACTGTTAGCCTGATGTCTGCCTTGATTTTTGCTCCTGCAGTAAAAATCTCAGTAGGGTGGTAGCGCTTCAGCTGCTTGGTAGTTTCTGAGAGTAAAGTAGAAGTATAGTGGGGATAATGAATGAAACCAGGATTTGTGCTACCAATAACCTTTGGGTGAATTTAGATATCTGAGCAGCGCTTTTACCAACTTGGGACAGCAAGCAAGCGATGGAGTGGTAGGATTGAACTACTAGCTCGTTTCTGCGTTGCGTAAATGCGAATTACTTAAAGCCTTGTTTGTATACTGGAGAGAAGCATAGTTAGGAAGGCCCGAGTATTCTTGAAAGTGTCACTGCCCCAAGTCGTGCCAAAAAGAGAAACGAAGCTGGCTCGGCTTACAGTTAGATTATGATACAGCAGGATACAGCCTAGGTGCACACGGTGTACACCGCCATGATTTCCTATCTGGAAATTTAGCATTTTGCTAGACACATGTATATGTCCATCGTAGACTCTGAAAAGTTGTTCGATACCGACTAGAGGCTGTGAGGAGCACAATTAATATCAGGCGCGCATCCGATCAAGTAAACAAACAAAATCACTGTCAAAATCAAAATCTATCGTCGTGATTCGTTAACGGAAACTGTAAACTGTCAACCATCAGTAAAATGCGTACTTGAAACGATTGTTCTTCCCGACCTTGTAAAATCTGTATGGCTGTGTCAAGTAGTGTGTGTGGTAGGCTACAGGTAGGTTATGTATGAAGTACATGGCTCGTTGTAAAATCCCGAGTGCGAAAGTGAGCGAAGTCCGGAGTTCCTCATCAGAGTTCATCAAGGGAAGAGACTACGTAGACTTCGATGAAGAAACTAAGACGAAAGATAAGAATCTCAAGCAATTGTCGTACATCTCAGATGGTCCCGCCTGGTCGAGGTGTTGTGTGCAGTCAACCAGGAGTCGACCACCAGGGTCGACGACGTAGCTGACTTTGGCCTATCCTCCCAACAGCCCAAGGGCATACTACCAACGTCCCTCAATCCTATGTCTGTCGTCATTGCAATCAGTTGCCAGATGAGAGATCAGCAGCTGAAAAATTCTTTGGCGGTTTGTAAAAAAAACACACACACATGTTGAATTTCTCTGAAATTGCAGAGATGCTGAGGGTACGAGTAGATCTTCTATGTAAAATATATCAGTAGTGTATTGAGCAGGCCCGGCATGAGGAACATAACGCTCTTCCATCTATTGAATCAAGGCAAGCACTCTACTCCACAACATGTAAACAAAAAATGAATGGACTCACTGAGACGACTCACTGCGGTTGTAGATTTGGTCCGCGAGCTCTAGACGTGTCAATTAGAGTATAAAAGGTGACAGAGCTTCGAAGGATGGTTCCTCAGCTTCTGGCAAGTCTCTCTTAGCACCTACACCACTCCCTTTGCCGGCCAAAGGAATTATCAGTGTCTCTTTGTCTTCACTCGACCGACAACCAAAAAAAAAATCTCTGATCTTGCTCCTCCCTCGCTCGAGCTCCATCGCGAGGCCTACTTCTACTCACTAAATTTAAACCTCGACCTAACCCGTCGTTCGCCATGCGTTTCAATATTGCTTGCTTATTCCTTGGGCTTTTCACCGCCGCTTCCGCAATACCAGTTGCTGTACGTGTTTTCGAAAAAAAAAAAAAAAGTGGAATGACGATAATCACTCACCGTGTTCTGGTTTTCTAGGTACAAAGCGACAACAACGGTGCTGCCGTCGAAGCTCGCGCTCCTTCATCTACTGATAGTGGTTATGACCTCCGCGAGCTTGGAGGAGCCGTAGGCGTCAACGTCTACCACGCCCGGGGCACCCAGATCTTCAATTCCCGCGGCGAAGAGATCGACGCTCGCGAGACTTTCGGCTTAACCTCCGCCGACCTAGAATCCCGCGACGCCTTCGTCGCTGCCCTCTCCGACCTCTCCCGGCGGGCGAAAAACAAGGTAACGATCCAGGTCACCTTCACCGGTGATCTCTCCTCCGAGTCCAACAACCCCACCCGCGCCAAAACGCAGTCCACTGCCAAAGCGGCTGTGCAGAGTCTGCTCAACGCTGCCGCGAAGAGCTTGGATCTCGAGGGGAAGACGATCGATGTTGTTTTCCTGAATGACTTCCATGAAAGTCGGGGAGAAACCATTAGTCATGTTACGTTCGAGTTTGAGGAGACGGTTTGTGAAGGGACATGTACGGGACATGCCTTTGGAGGATCTAAAGGGGACATTTTCAATCACAATCACGAGAAGATTTACAGCAAGCGTAGTAGCAAGGGCAAGGGCAAGGTATGTGCTTAGTTTTATTTCCACTTTTATCAAGTCTGATCCATCTTTTGCTTCATTCTTGCAGAAGTAAATGTCGACTCCGTCGCATTGCCCTGCCATCTGGTACTTAGCCACCTGAGTAGATAGTAGTTCTTTGAGCATAGATAGAGTTGTCAAATGAAACAGGAATTCTGTGCTTGATTAATCCGTTTCCTTCAACCTCCTTCAACCTGCGTTAGTGAATCTGATTGAATCTTTGCCTTGACGATTCAAGTGCCTTTATCTGCCTCCTTGGCAGATTGAAAGTCAAGGCAAGGAGACGCGACAAACTACTAGAGTCTTCGAACGGACACGTGATGCGGTATTCACTGCTCTCGCTGGTACCGCCTCGACGCATGTACGTCGAAGCCTCGCAGTACTAGCACCTTAGTTCTTCTTTATCTCACTACTTCATTTACCCATTTGACTAAAAAAAACCTCACGAGTTCGTGGAATCCAAGTTTCGAATATTGAATATCGATTTCCAGTCAATCAATTCGGGGCAAACAGCATTTCGCCGACGTACATCACAAGTCATTGAAGAAGACTGAACACTATTGAAATAGTCCCACATCCATGGATCGAATTTACTAGGTCTATTGCCTTGCTATTGCATCGAGCGTCCAGTGATCCATCTTCCCCGTCATGATCATTTCAAGTTCACGCGCTTCCCCTTTTCTTCTTCTTCTTCTAATATTCTTCTTCCTCTTCGAACATTCCTCGCCCAATCCAAATTCCGATCCAGAGTCCAAAGCAGACCCCAACGGAGTCGTTGGGGCATCATCAAGATTACTCGTGTTTTTTCCTAATGCCTTTTTTTTAGTAGCTTCGTATCGATATCTTTAGCAGTGTTTTGATGCTTTGGCTTTTTCGGCTTGGGTGGAAGGGCTGACGCGACAGCAGTGTTAGTGGTGGTGGTGGTGGTGGTATTCGTCCGTGTCAGTGACGATTTTCGAGGTCTAACTTTGGCTACCTCTCCCTCATCAACATATCCGTCGATGTCACCCCCATTCGACAAAACTATATCCCTTTTCCCATCACTCTTTTTCTTCTTCTCCTCCTCCTCCTCCTCCTCCTCCTCCTCCTCCTTCTTCTCCTTCTTCTCCTTTTTCTCCTTCTTCTTTTTCTTATTCACTATCACATCCACCCCGCTCACCCGCGTCGCCGCTTGTACTTGCTTTCCCCCCCCCTCAACCCCGACGCCACCTGCGGCAGGTGTGTCCGGAGAGGACAACAACGGTGGTGATTTGGGAGTGGGTTTACCGTGCACATGCGTCACGGCGGCGTTTGGTTTAGGTTTGTGTTTAGATTTGGATATGGATTTGGGCTTGGGCTTGGATTTGGATGGAGATTTCTCAAGTGCGTTCAGAAGATGGGAGTCCTGGATTGGAGATGATTTCGGGGATGTAGTAGTAGTCGTAGTGACAGATTGTTCATGTGGATGACGAGTAGTCATCGCCGACGAACGCGAACTCGTCAAAGGTTTTGTTTTCAGAGTATTAGAAAAAGAGACCTTCGAGTCTGATTGTAGCTTCTCCTTTCTCCAAATCGCATGTCGTTCGCGTATTTTTCGAATCTTCTCTCGACGGGTTTGCTGGAGATTATTGAAAAAACGATTGATTATCAGTTTTTTTTTTTTTTTTTTTCAAAAATTCAAGTTTCCAGATATGTAGGAAAGAGTGAAGTGGAGTGACAAAAAAAAAAGAAAAAAAAGGAAATATTCAATATTCTTGAATCGAAATTCGAAATTCAACCAACCCCCCCGATCGCGAGTAGGTGGGTTATAGGTTATAGGTTATAACGAACGACTCGGGATGTCGATGAGTGGTGTGATAGGTTTATACTCATTGCTCACCTTTTTCAAAGCACGTTTCGAAATCGTTGGAGGTTTTTCTTCGGATTCCGAGTCGTCTTTCATATCCATATCCACGTCCTCGGTTTCCTCCTCCTCCTCATCTTTCTCGCTCTCCTCATCCCTCTCGCTCTCCTCATCTTCATCCTTATCCCCATTCTCCTCACCATCAGACTCTTCCTCTTCCTCACCATCAGACTCCTCCGAATCCGAATCCTCATCCGAATCCACCCCACCCAACCCCAACGCTTCCTTCACCTCCTCATCAAGCCCCAACGCTTCGTCTTCCTCCTCCCGTTTTCGTTTTCGCGCAATGCGTTTGAACATTCCTTCCCAGGGATTTTCTGGGTTTGGAGTTGGGAGTTTTTGGGTTTGGATTATTTTCTTTTTGGAGTGGTTTGTTGGAGGTGGAGTAGGAAGGAAGGGGGAAGGGTGAAGGGGAAGGAGGGAGGAGGAAGAGGGGGAGCTAAGGTTTGTTGTAATCACGAGATTCCAATTATGTACAGATTGTATACAGCCCGATACGAAAAAAAAAACATTGATAAGTAAACCGCAAAAAAAACTGTGTTGCAACGATAGTATAGCCCACCGCGAGGGTCGAACTCGCAGCCTTCAGATGCCCAATTGCAATTTCGACCAAGATCCAATAAGAGTCTGACGCTCTATCCGATTGAGCTAGGCGGGCAATATCTTAGATGTCCTTGGTGCAATACAACTGCAGTTAGTTAGTTGTCTGAGTAAAATTGGACTTACATAATAATTTATAATTACGGAAAGCTAATCGTTCAAGGTGTCGCAGTGCACTTTTTTCTTTCTCACCCGACGTCTCTAGCATTTCAACGAGACGGCGCCGCAACGCATCAATACCACCCTCCGCAGAGGTCGAATTTTTTTGATGCGTTGAATACATTTGGGGCCCCTGCGCGGGCTGCTTACTGCCTAAACGGAGAATCTCTCAATCGAGACGATACGATTAGAATACATCAATTCAAGAAATATTCTGTAGATATACGAGATGTCCTTAAACTTCGACCTTATCCTATTGGAGCGGTGGTAAGGCCTAAGGTCTGGGTAGATATATAGAGATGGGAAGGATACATGTACGATTAATAGCAAACCCTTTATTGCTCCTTGAAGATTCCTCGACGTATACTTGTACTCTTTCACATCCTGTTAATAGAAGAAAGTTTATCAGCATCCAAAAGCAACGACGCCAACCAAAAAAAAACTGCTCACAACAACGCCAACGTCAAATCCCCATGAATCCTCGCATTAATTTCTACCGCCACATCAATGTCCAACTCCAACTTGAGCTTGATAACATGATCATCATGCGTATCCAGATCCATACCCCTCAACTCATCATACGAAGGCAGCCCCGTCCAATTCTCCTTCTGCACCAAAGTCCCATCGGGGTTGGTGATGGGTTTTCCCCAATGGTCTAGAGGCTTGACCATGATACCGGGGTTATCACCGTAAGGCCAGGTGTCGACTCCGGCTAAGGAAGAAGAGGAACGGGACCAGTCGCCGAGGGAGAGTCCGGAGACGGAACTAGCAGTGCTGACGTTGCTCCCTGCATCGGAAGCAGCATACGCGGGGCTGAAATCCCTCACGCCCTTGGGTCGTTGAAGGACCCGACCGGAGGTCCCAACACCCTCGCCTTCTTCGTCTTCGTGGGGCCAGTCGTTAACACCATGCGGAGGCTCCAATCGACCTGGTTTATCCCCGTGAGGCCATTTATCAACACCGAACCCTTTAGTGCCTTTCTTTCCACGGCGACGACGCTTTTTCTTCTCCTTTTCACCTTTGCCGTCGTCACCGTTACCGTCGTCGTCGAACGACTCTGGTTCCCGAGTCTGCGTGGTACGTTGAGCGTTGTTGTTGTAGACGGCGTTATCGCCTTCACCGTCTTCTTCGTCGACGCCAGGGAGCTCGGGCTCGGGATTATCAGCTGTCGGTGTGGGAGCACGGTTTTCTTCGTCTGATCCCCCGGAAGCAGAAGAAAGGCTTCGAGGGGTACGGCTTCGACCTCGGGGAGTACGCGGAGGACGAGACACGGATGGAGAAGCGGTCCGTGAGGCGGCTTTGGAAGGCGGCTTGGAAGTGTGGGATGCCTGAGAGGCGGGTCGAGAAGGGGGTTTGTTGGACGCCTGAGAAGCAGGACGGGACTTGAGCTTGGTTTGTTGCGCCGGTTCGTCCTGCGATTGAGGTCGGTTGGACGCCTGAGAAGTGGGTCGGGTTTGGTTTGGTTTGGACTCGACGTCGGGGTTGGAAGTGCGGGAAGCAGGACGAGATCGAGACTGAGACTGTTTCTCGTTCTCTGGTTGACTCATTTTACTAGTACTAGGACAGTGGGGTTCAACAGAATGAAGCAAGGACTGGAGCAGACTCACCGAAAAAAATAGATAGCATATAACCTCTGTCGTCACTAATCGTCATAACTCCACCGTTAGTATGCTATGAGCTCATCGTGATAATTCCATTTCAGGCACACCCCAGGAATGAGTTCAAAGAGACGCCCATAAGCGCCGAGGGCTTCTCTTCTTCGACTTTTCATCTGCACATGGTTTTTACCCATAAATGACGCTGATAACCGCGTTTTGTTTTTCCTTCCCTCCCTTCACCGCTGGTCGGTTCAGTATCCCTTGCAGTGCTTTTTCAACAAAACCCAATTTTATGCTCGAGCTCCTGATTCCGAAAATGCAGCTGCTTTTTCCTTTGATAAAATTCTACTTCACCTTTGTGCTGTTCCTTGCACCGACTATGGCCGTGCCCACTGGTCCTCCAAACGTCTGTGTCGATTCGCTCTCTGTCTATATTAACTGATTTTCTCTATCGTGACCTGTCATAGGCTGGAGAGTCACTTTCAATGACTGGTGCTTTATCTACTTCCAACCCAGACCTCCCAGGTCATAGTACGGGTGTAGATAAGAATGCTTATGACCAAGTCCTTCACGCCACCGACGCCAATACCGGCCATAATCCCATCATCGAGGCCAGACTCTGGATCCACCACGATGTCTTCACCCACACCCCAGATTATCGAACCGCCATGGGCTATGCTGTTGAATATATCATGAACCCAATTCAGTCGACGATTTTAGATGATATCCACAAGGATCACCCGTTTCTCACGTTCCCCAGTCCGACTCGCGTTCTGGTATATCGGCTTTCGGGAAAAGACTTTACGAACCAGGGTGATTTTGAGATTAGCTTTTCTGGGGTTGCTGGGGCTGATTCGACACTTCCCGAAAACTGGTGGTTTGCCATGCCTGGTTCGGTTGATCCGTCTTATTTTGGACATGTTGATTTCAAGTGTCTGGTTCGAACGCTGAAGGGAGGGTATACGTTCAAGAAAGAGTTGGTTACTGGGAAGATATCACGGCGTTATCCAGGAAAGAACGAAGAAGTGTTGGTATCGTTCAAGAACGGAAAGGTACGGTACTTGTTTTCTTTTTTTTTTTTTTGGCACCTCAACTAATTTTTAAAAAAGGCTACAAAGTCGATGAGGTCTAGTACCTTATCTCGAGTGAAGACATTGTTCGGGAAAAAACCTGGTGGGCCGAGTTCTTCCTGAAATGCATTATGTATGGCACGAGAGAAGGGTTCGTCAAGTCCTGACAGTCTATCGATGCTCAAAGCTAAGTCTGATGTCGATACTATCTGAACAGTCAACTACCGGACACAGTACAGTACATATGTAGAGTCCCGCAACTGCCAATTTATATTACATATATGCTCTTTCTGCAGGATGCGCTTCCCTTCCTTTGATTTCTTTTTCGATTTCTCCATTGATTCTTGCGGGACTACTGTGCAAAGGATTCAAGCCACGTCTGCATCGACATCTCGCCACTTTGCGCCATCGTTGTATCCGCGCCTGTACTCGCCGGGTTGTCGGTTGAACAAGTATGTACAGCATACAGGAACACACGAAGATCCGTCGGGGTCACTGAGCTCAATTTTTTGAATAAAAGAGGACCCTGAACTTTCTGCGTTCCCTTCCATCCCCCCCCCCTCTCTCTCCACCGCTGGTCGGTCGAAAAATCCGGCATCTGCAGTGATTCTCAAGTGTCTTTCGCAAAACCACTTTGCACGTCGTGCTCGAAGTTCATTTTTTTTAAACGATGCACTGGGTCTTTGCTTCGACGAAAGAGTTTTACTCTGCTCTTTTCATGAGTATACTTTTCCTTGTGCCGATTATGGCCGTGCCCATTGCTCCTCAGGACGTGAGTGCTCGTTTGTGGGTTTGCTCTGATATGCTTTTCAATTGATTCCTGTACCAGCCAAAAGAGATGTATTTGATGAGCGGTGGATTGTCATCCGACGCACCTAAAATCCCCAATCCAATTAACGCTACTACCAACGCTGCGGTACAACACGTCGAAGGGGATGATCACGGTCATATACATGATGATCCATACCCAATCAAGGGCACACTCTATGTCCACCCCAGCCTCTTCGAACTCGACAGTCTACACGAGCTCCGGAACGTCATGAAAAATGCCATCCAATCAATGCTCACACCAACAATCCCGGACCTTCTAGCAGTATACGAGCAGAATCGTCCCGACTTGAAACCAAAAGAACCACCGACCGGGATACCTCTCACCCGTGTCCTCGCTCTACCTCTCCCCCTTGGCTTAAAGAGTTCAGAATTTCCAGATCTATACGATTTTCGTTTGAAGTTTTCCCAGAACCCCCGCACGTATTTTGGAAATATTGATAAGAAGTGTTTGATATTGGAGAAGGATAATGACAAGGGGCCGTTTAAATTCCAACCGGGATTGCTCACAGGGAAGATAGGAGAGGATGCTCGGTTGAAAGAAAGGCTATTGGTATCATTCGTGGACGGAAAAACGGTCGTGAGTTACTATCTTGTTTCCGTTTTCCACCACTGTGTCCATATATCAGTTCTGACACCTGTACATAGGAAGTAGCGGCAAATACTGGTTTCCTTTCGCGGTTTAAAGCCAAAGCCAAGTTGAAGTTGGGGAAAACTGGTAAAGGCCCGGGGTCTTCATGATCATTGTACGAGGCAGGCAGTTTAGTCAGTCACTCTTCTGTTCTGTTTCTGTTTTTTCAAAATTCTGACATGTCTGATAGGTCGTAACATAAATAACATGTTTTAAAGTTAGGATATGTTTGAGTTTTGTAGGCATGCTGCTTCGATTTCTGTTATACATTTGGGTTCTTCAATGATCCTTCGTTGCTGATTGCAAGGATATTAGTATCTCATAGTATCTGAGTCGCGTGAAGTCCATCATGGGTTGATCATGTTCATCTAAGTATGTACATACTTTTCAGTGACTTGTTCGTCTTAGTCTTCATTAATCATTCGGTAGATACATGTAGGTCGACATAGTCACAGTTGAAGAAGAAAGAGACAAAGCGTTAATGGGCGCATTATTAGGCGCTGGCTCTCAGTTCACATCTCTCCTTCTGCCACATCAGTTGTCAAAAGCAAAAGCTGATCATCGTTCTCTCTCGCAGGACTGGTTTTCATGAATAGTCAGAAGCGACGAAAAACAATACCGGAAGGTTCAATTTCCCGTCATGCATTCACGCTCGACAAGCTGAGCATAACGCCTGCCGGACTAGTCTTTTCATGAGCAGTCCCTGTACCTGATAGACGACCACCTGTCTACTCATGAGCTATACAATACGGACAGCTGGACCTGAGAGCAT